ATGCACTTATGGGCAATGGAATCACTGTCAGCCGGATAGACATTCAAAGCCAGAGTCCCAGGATTCGATTCGCTCCTAGGCAAGGCCATATAAAATTAAACAAGAGCGAAGGGAAATCGTACGAGTGTGTTCCGGCTTCCTTAATGCGGACTTGGAGAAGTGACCGCAAATATCGGACCCAATCCCAATAAAGCACTGAAAAAATAAAACTAGTTTTTCATAAGGAAAAACATTAAGTTACGGTGAATGGAAAAGTAATACATATTTATTGAAAATATTTATTATTGGTTATGAACTGAAACTTTTCTTATACATTATTTTGAAATGTTACGGCAACTCCAACAAGGGCTCAGAAGTTTCTAGCTTGTCAGAAAGTTCCTGAAAGAAATTCTTATTTGTGTAGAAGACTGATTCCTGAGCTTCAAGCATTTATTTTCCTGTGCATTTTTGAAGGCGATGAGGCGTGCATGAGGGCATCCAAGGAGCCTGCCCAGCTGGACCACAAAACCTTTATGGCTGCCCATACACACATACACTGGCATACCGAAGTGTGCGGCTGCAGTGTGAGTGTGTGTGTATAAATGTTCTAGTACTTGTGGGTCTCAAGTGCAGCAGGGACATACTTGGTAAACCCTCGCAGAAATCCTGGCTTACGCTAAAACCTCCCAACAGTCTGCCTCGTAACTTCTGCCTGCCCCTTTACGCATTGTTAATTTTTTATGGGCCAAACGAAAATTTTCACTCAAGATTTATGAGGCAACCGACAAAGTGCTCGAGTGCAGAACTCCAAAAGAGGGGCTTTTCGACCAGGAAAATGTAACTGAGGCATACTAAAGGTAATGCGAATTAGTCACTCCAGTAGTCTAGACCAGTCTACGAATTTAAGCTGCAATAGCTGCACAAAATGCAGGAAAATGCACCTGTTAATTTTTGTAGGCTTGCATTCCTCTTTAAATTCAATCCTGAAATAGTTTACATACAGCTTAAAATTCATAACCTGATTTCATATTTTCTAAGAATAAATGTCATTTTCATTTTTTAATTACCAGAGAGCCAAATATTTGCGAATCCTAAATCATTTTGCGACATCTTCGGCCTTGAGTCGTTGGCAAAGCTTCAAATATTTAATTTTTTAGACATTTTTGGCCGCGATGTTTGCCTTCCTTTGGTCACCGCACTCACCACAAGTGCTAAATTTCCAAGGAACCCAAAAAGGAGCAAAAACAGAATTTGCCAGGAACCGAATTCAATTAATGCGGAAATTCGTTGGCACTGCAGAAACCTAAAATCAAAGATAAAAATATATTTGAGGTGGGGAGTACACATCGAATCGGGATTTTACTCCTTTGGGCTCCATATAATATCGATTAGCCGACCCGTTGACCACAGAATTTTGTTTACCATTGCCAGTGGAGAAACTTTGGTACAATATTTATGTGAAGCCAATCGCACCGATGGCATTCATTTCAGTTAGTTAGCACGTTCTAATGCATTTCTGACCCAAATACCCATACACTTTTTGGCTCGTTTCCGTTGAGATTCTCTTCGTTTGCTTTCGTTGGCAACCAGAAATACCGAACAAAAATCTGCATAGAATGATAAAAATATTGAATTAAATCTACGGAAAACGAATTGTGGCCGAGCTCGCTTTAAATTTTCGAAAGAGGTGGAACATGCAATCAATTTATCTTCATGGCTTCAGCTGTCTGGCTGCCAAGTAATCCATAAAACGCATCGATTGAAAGTCCCTCGCTAAATATTAACACCCTCGAAACTTATGCTGTGGAAAATTGAATTTACATCACTGGCAGGCAAATTTGATGGATCACCCTGGGGTGTGGAGGTAGCAAAAAGTTAGCTACTCCCTACTGCCGTGTATCTGTCGGACCTTTCCAATTACTAATTTTAATTATCCCCGCCGTCGGCCAAGTCAGACAAGGCTTGTCAGTGGACCAAAATGCGCAAAATGCAGGACTCACAATGCTCTGTGTTATTCATTCGCTGGTGTTGGCTTTTATTCGATTGTTTGTTTGCGGAAATTGAGCGCTGCATTTGGACAAACTTCTATTTGGGTCAGACAAACAAACAAGCGAATTGGTTGCGGGTCTCATTTGTAACAGATACCATATATCAAAATTTCATTTCATTGCGAGTTGCTGATTAGCATTCGATTTGCATAGTGGGACACCTAACACGATAGTTTCAGTTAAAAACTAATGGGTAACACAATAACGGTTGTCTTTAAAACAAACAATGAAAATTGTTTACTAAATATGATAATCATCTGACAGTTATTTAATGTTGATATGATAGCTTACCAAAGCAACAAGAAAATAAACAATAAACACACAAAGCATTGAAGCCAATAAAACATTGCAAAGGGAAAAAATGTGCATATATTGTAAATAAGCTTTACAAAAGCTAGTAAACAAACATGGATAAAAAAATTTGGTTAAATGTTAAGAATCACTTTAATTGTTTATAACCAATATTTTTATTGTGGCTGGCGTTAAGGGTAAATATTTGTAACCTTTATTAAGCTTAAATCGATTGCTCTTTTTGCTAATAATGCATATGATGATCTCGGTGAACTCATTCGATTTTGTTTGTTTTTCCAAGTCGACAGCGTGTTTGCAGAAGCTCGAAAATCCATTTCAATTTCAGACCATTAGTGTCCCCGTTTGAAAGTGCCGAGTGAGAGAGGCAGAAAAAGTTTTGTTTTCACGCTTCGACATTAAAAGAAAACAGTTTGGCAAAAAATAACCGAAAAAGAATCGCCAAACTTTTGCAGTTTTGTCTGCAGTGCCCCCATTCGCCCCATACTTTCTGCCTCTTCAGCCATTCAATTTTTTTCCACGCGCTGCCATTTTTCAACTTTGGCTGCTTTTTTACTCGGTTTCTTTGTTTGTTTGTTTGGCGGCGAAAAATTAAAGAAAAATAGCAGCTAATGAAATAGAAATAAGCGAGCGTTGACTCCGAGAATCGAAATGTGGTAGCATATGTGAGCGGTTTGCTACTTTTGCGGGTTCTTCACACGACTTTGTTGCTTTGAAAAATATCCTAGATCAACTGAGCGGGAAACTTTGGCTAGGAGTTTATAACTGCTCGACAATTAGTCAAAAAAGTGTACGAAACGTAAGAGTATTTTTTAGTGGAATGAAGCTTTCAATTTGCTGATGTAATCCCTGCTGTGTTGCCATGCTTGCACCAACTTTCTGTGGGAAAGCGTCTCTTTGGGACGCTTTGCTTTTAAGATTTAAATAAAATCTCTAATCCAGTTGAAACTTTTGCCCACATAAGTATGCAGCAGTTTTTGAGTTTTGCCTTTCGTCGGAAACCACAAGTCGCCCCTTATTTCGGTCTCCATGTACGCACTGTTATTTAATTTAATTAAAAATATCTCTTTCTGGCTTCGTGTTTGCCAAAAAGTTAGCACAGCTCGGTGAAAAAATATGACTAACGATGTGCAGGAGTGCCACGCCCCCGTCACTCAGACACGCCCACACTTCTAAGCTACCCGAACCAAATAGCTGGGATCCTGGATACAGGGGGCACTCTGGGGGCATCCACGTGCCGTCGCTTTCTTTTGTTGCCGGGAGAGTGGGTCATGTGGGTCAAGTGGTCGGTCAAGTGCTGGGCAGTGGATGGGTGGTGATGTGGTGCGATGCGGTGTGGTGTGGTGCGGTGGTCTCTGATGTCCTGGCACGGGTTAAGTGGCTTTTAATGAAAGTTAGCATCCGCTTTAATGCAACTTGTTGTCGGGAGTCGTGTTGCCGAGACCGGAACTCGAATCATCGAGCACTTTCACCCAGACGAAACTGAAAGCCAACAGCTTTGGCAGTTCGGTTAAATAAATTAAATCTACTTAGCCGGGGCTTTAAGGTCTCATCGTCTCATTCATTGTTTTGGCTCTGCGGTTTCCCCGCCGCCAAAAGTTATTAAATTTATTGTACTCAATTTATGATCAAAGGGAAGGTCGCCCATTCTATCCGCGTCCTTTGCATTGCACTTTTTTAATACAAATATTATTTCTGGTCTTTTGTTTATTTTGTAACCTTCGTTTCCCCAGTTTTTTATGTGAGCTGCGAGCTTTCGCTTTGGCTTTGCGTACTTTTTTGCGGCACTTTTTACTTCATTTCCTGACCCCCGTGCTTCCTGATCGGAATTCTGTATTTCCGGTACGTCCATTACGAATTTTAAATGCAATTCTGCTTTGTTGTGGCCCTGTGTGCTTTTTTGTCTCGTATTTATTTTGGCAACTGGGGCACAAAATTTGCAGCTTTGAAGTCTTCAACAAAGATGTAAAATTGTTGAAACTTTTAAGGTTTGAGGATAAATGCTTCGATTGTTATAAAATAACCAATTAAATTTACTTAAACATTAATGTTATGCAGAGAATAGCAACTGAATTGTCAAGTGAAATAATAAATAAATAATTGCGTTAAGCTTTGACCCCTATTTTCCGATTCAAGTCCACACCCTCTTCTAAATTAATTTGTTTGCATTTGGCATCTTTACACCACATTTAATAAACCCGGCCAGATTTGTATCTGCAACATTTGTCTTTCCTTCGCCGCTGTGGTCAGGGGTTTTCCGGCTTTTCCACTCAGTTTTCCCCAGAGTCTCCGAATTCCCTACAGACTTTCGGGCTGCTTAGCATGCCTGTCGCCTAGGCTCAACGTTCAGTGATTTTAATTAACATTTCTGATTTTGCGGCTCACCACGACCCCAACTCTAATTCTCCAAGTTAATGAGTGTATGTGTGTGTTTGGGTGTGTGTGTGTGGGTTTATTAGCACACCTGTGTACAGGTTACACGCAGATTCCTTTCCCACGTGACTTCGGCTTTAACTTCGTCTGCCCAACTAATTGAATTGCTACTTGCTTAATTAACTAGAGAGATAACTTGTCCCTGATTAAGATTTTGTCAACATTTAATACGCCTAATGCGACTTGATTAATGCATTTTAATCATCATATATATTCCGCTCTTCATTGCAGACAGACGACCAAATTGAAAGTTCAATAAACCCACACAGAAGAGGGTAAGATTATTTGATTTTTCCCAAGTTGTGTTGACATTTGTGACAGATTTCAATGCTTTGACAGTTGCACTCGATTTGTGCCATTTATCATACTATCAATCGATGGGAATGATTTTGTTTTCATAATTTTATTTCTGGCAATATTGCGGCAAATTCATTGCAACTGTCTTGTATTTAAGGAAAATATTTTCAATGGGAGCTGCCAAATATTTCGGCCCTAAAATGCCAAAAGCTCCTGCCAAAGATGTCGATGGCCAATCGTAGCTTGTTTAACAATATGCTGACCATGGCTCAAAGGCAGCAAATTCGATATGTGCAGGAATGAAAGAAATTCGAACTGAAATCCAATATCAAAGCGCAAAATGACTGCAAGCTAAAACTACGACTGCTATCGTATCTTTCCTGGATGTGTGGGTGGAATCTGGAGTGTGTCCGACTTCCTTAATCAATCGGAGGAGAAATCATATTATGAACACACACACATATATTCCCATAAAAAGGTATGGCAGAAAACTAGGCAAGGAAATGAGAGAGCAAATGTGGAATTAAGAATACTTTGAAAGACAGGAGAGTACTGTGTCAATAGTTAAATTAAAACGAGGTTCTGTATTAAAATCCAATTTAAATTATTAAACAAGCATGAAAATTGCTACATTTTTAGAAATTTAACTCTCAAGGAGTATAGCTCTTCAAGCTTATTTAACACTCACTTGGCCCACTGCCTAACTAACCGATGAAGTTGATAATGATAAAAAGGCCAGATAAGATTCGCCTGAGAAATGCCTTAAGATGAATGGCGAAGGAGGAAAGCAGAAGAAAACCAGGCAGCACAAAGAGCCGGCGGAAGGAGCAGCATAAATTATGAAAAGAAATTTTCATGCATGTGCATGAGAGAGCGGAGGATCCTTCTTGCGAACTGCTATCAGCCCGTCGTCTCCGTAATTAATTTGATTTCTTTCATTCCGGCGAAGAAAATGCGAAAAGGGTCCCAAAACAGGACGAGTTAAATTAATTGAAAGGCGAGCGGAAGAAAGCGAATTAAGCGAGTGCTGCATATTAATAATTTTTCAGCAAGTTGGGGGCTTAAAGTCGATGTCCCGGCCAATGAACTCGCCATTTTAACCGAGACACGAGTCCTGAAAACCCCGTTGTCCTGCCAGCTTCGCCTTCCACAGGCCAGGCGTGTCGACATTGGTAATAAAGCGCTCACTTGCATTTGTCCAGGATGCTGGGAATTCATGTGCTTGTGTGTGTTTGTGTCTGTGAGGGGGGGTGTGTGTCTGTGTGAGAATGCCAAGTGTTGCTCTGTGTGTGTGTGTATGTATGCCCGAATGAGGTTAAGAGCTTAATGAGTGCTGACAAGGCAACCTGTAGTTGACATATGACATTTTTATGTGCCTCGAAGCCTTCGCAACAAGGGTTTCCTATTAATACACATCCTCCTCCTCCTCGGAGGCCCCAAGATGGATCCTTCGCCCCGTCCATTACTTCGCTCTCCAGGAGCACTTGCCTCAAGGTAAATGCTAAGGTTTTGACTTAATTAGTGCCGAGAGTTAGTCAAGTTAGCCTCGTTTTTATGCTAGTTTTCCGTGTGTGTGTGAGTGTGTGTGTGCGCGGTTGTGGCAGAATGCGTAGAAAATGTGGCACCATTTTCGGTCATTTAACTCTGGTATTTTGGGTCTGCTCGGAAATACTTGAGAAATAAAAAGAGGCGCCAGTTATTTACGTATGGAAACGCTGCATAAATACAGATGATAAAATGTGGAATTAAAAGAATTTTTGAAGGTCAGTAAGGTTTTCAGAAGGGTACTTACTGGGCAACTACTTCAATTAATTTTAATTTTTTGTAAACATGGCCTTCTTAGGGTAATTCTTTAAGTGGTATGTATGTATCACTGAATATAAAAAGCCTTTGCAAAACAAAACCGTATATTAAGTGCTTATAATATTATTACCAGTGTTATTATCTATCTAAAATATTTCAAAGTTTTTTTTCTCCACAAGATATACCCACGTTGAGAAGATTGACTGAGCACCCTTTTGGCTTATTTACTTCGATTAAATTTGTGTCTGATGCTCGTTCTCGTTTGACAATTAGTCAGCACAAGTCAACAAGTTATGCAGCTTGCAGTGCCACCCCGTTTTAACAACATGCAAACACACTCGCCGCAGATCCCCGATATCTCCCCCCTTTATACATACATATATCCCTTTATCCATGGCCAAGTCGGGTGACCACTGGACCATTTTGTACTCGGCCACGTTGTTTGCCATTGTTAACCACTCGTGGCCATTGTTTATTTGACTGCCGTTGCCGTTGCCGTTGTTGATATTGCAAGCTGATGACATTAATTGTTACATTTCCAGTTTGGCCCTCCCTCGGTTGCGCTTTTAACGCCTGGCTGGCTTTAAGTTTTGGCTTACCCTCATCTAGGGACTTTCATTTCGACCCACTCGCCATTTTTCGCCGAGATGGCATATCAGTTTCGTTAACGCGCTCTTGATTTATTACTCCGACTTGGCAACCCGCAGGCGGCATTAGTTTTTACGACGGAGGAGAGTCCCGTGCCAAGTTAGACAGTTTTAATTAAATTTTAATTAATTATTCATAATCCAGTCGTTTTCCGCCCAGGGAGCAGAGGTTGCTTCATGTGCTGCCGAAAATGTATAGCCGAAAGTGTGTTGCATATTTAACAACCCAGTAAAGTGTTCCAAGGCCTGATTGAGTGGCTGCATAAATGCTATGGCGCTTTGGGGCTTTAAGAAATGTTAAACAGTTGAAGTATACCTCAATTTAATACCTTCATTAAATTGTAAATACAATTGTACAATACAGCCATTATATAAATCAAGAACTCTTTCTGTGTTAAAGTCTGTTCTACACAAAACCTATTAAAAGCAATTACATTACAAAATATTCTACGAATTCTATTAATTTCGCCCTTGACTTGGTTTCGCTGCACATAAATTAAGTATTGCAATTGTTGGGCGTGCAGTGGCCGCTAATTGAGTGCCAAATGTTCGAGTTCACAAGTCAATTACCCGCACTGCACATCCAGCCGCACTTGAGCAAATCATTTGACAGACAACCGGGAGCAGAAAAAAAAATTCATCGTACATCAAGTACAAAAAAAAAGGAACAACAGCAACGTACTCACGCAACATCAACAAGTTCATTAAAAAAGTTAGCACAAAAGCAGCTGAAAAAGGCAAAAAGCCGGCGAATGAAACTCAGGCGAACGGAACCCCACAAATGTAACGCTTCACTAGAACTTGGCAAAATTGTTTATTTTTTTACCCCTGACGCGGGGTGATGCGGCTCATTTGTGTGCGACCACAAAATGGCGGCAAAGAGGGAAAAGCGCAATAACTGCAGTGATTAACAGGAAGACAGCTGGCAACTTCTCCTTTGTGAAACAAGTTCATAATGAGAAGATTCCAGTGAAAGTGCAATATGCACTTTAAGGTGATACATTATTTAACAGAAATCAAATAACTATTACGATCATTATATAAAATAATTCATTGAGGTATCTCAAAGTGTAAGGAATAATATTGGCCCGACAGTAGTTTTATTTACCCAGTAAATTGTTTCGATTGCCAATTTAAGCCATTTGCATATCATAAATAAAGTTATTATCTTTAGCACGTTCCCTCCAATTACCAATTTACCAGACGTGGGAATATCTTTTGCTTTGAACGCGTTTTGCACCCTCATAAAAGGGAAATCATCTTGCCAGGAGCAACCCCAATCGAAGTCAGTTTGAATGGGTTTTCAGGGGTGTTAGTCGAAACCGGAAATGATTGTGCAATTGAATTGTGCGAAATGCCAGAGCTCGAATGCAAGGTAACCCCATCGAAGCACTTCCCGTATGCACATTTTGTTGCACCTTAATGACGCCACCCAAGTGTATCGATGTCCGGAGGTCCAAAGTCCGCAGAGAAAGGGGAAAGGAAAGTAAACCCGTGAAAAGTTCAGCCCGACATTTGCTCTTTGTTATGCACATGCATTGTTAACGGGGATGAATCCAGCGAACACCATTCTCCCCTTTTTATTTTGTTTCCGGAAGTTTGTGGTGGGAAATTTCATTTATGCTGACACTTGACTTGGCTTTCCGTGCTAGTTCGCCTTTTCCTTTCGCTGTTAGCTCGCCCCTTTTTATTCGAAGGGTCGGACTTAATTTGCTGCAAATAAATAATGGAAACAGACGCTGAGCTGGCCAGTTCGATTTGGCCTTGGCGCCCAATGAAGTTTATATTGTGTTCGAGTTGTGCACTTTTTCCATTTCCTCCTTCGGGCGGAGTGGTTTCACTGAGGAAAAAACATACAAAGTTTTTTTTTCAATGAATGGAGTATGTATAGAAACAATCTAACTAATAAACAGACATGACAACTTTTATGTTGAAGTATGTATGTATTATACTTTTTTTTATTTAAAAAATCTGAAACACTTTTATATTTTCATAAAAAAAATTGTAAAAAAAAATTGTATAACAGTGCCTGAAGCGGAAACGTGTTGACTGAGCAGCCGTCGGATGTCCAAGAGGAAAAAGGAAAAGCGCCGAGTGGAAAGCAGCCAAACAGATAGCGCTTTTCCTTCTGCCACACTTTTCCTCTCCTCACTAACCTTGACTTGGTTTGCTTTTCAGTGTTCGGTGTGACAATTTAATTGTTTTGTAATTGTTTAGACTTTGCAGGGAGTCCTGATTTATGGCCAAATTGATTGGGGGTCAAGTACCCGCATTATATTGACTACCAGCAAGTGACCCAAAAACGATGTTCATAAATGTTGCAACACCTGCTGCAATGTTGATTCGGAATTTGCAAACGAATTCCCATTCAATTGTCAGAAGCCAGTGATAGATTAAATTTGTAGGAGCCAAATATTTGTAGCCGGACATTTATGTGCTTGTTAATCGGGTGGCAAACTAAATAAGTTATGAGTGGCTAACTGTGACATCTAGTCGAGCATTCGTTGCATTCGGATTTACTTTCAAACGTATTTGGCCAGCCATAAATCCCCATCGAAATGTGGGTTAATGTGGGCTCGAGAGTTGGCCTTTTAATTCCTCCTTTGTCCTGGCTATAAATCTCCTCCAGAACGGGCCAGGAAATGCAAGTGCAACATTTGTCTAGCGAACTTTTAGCCTGCCAGTCGAGTGAGTGCTTGTGAGATGCAAAATTAGCTATTTTAAAGCTAGGAAGATAGCGAAGAATAGATTTGTTTGGAGGTAATCATGTCGAAAATATAAATTGTGTATTAAGATTTTTTTCTTGTGTTTCGGCTTTACGGTGTTTTTAAAGAGTTAAGATACTTAGAAAATTATTTCTGTTTTTCTTTTTAGAAATCCGTTATGTAAACATGAAATTTATCTACAAATTTTCATATGTGCAACTAAGTGTTCTTTGTTTGACGGTTTGGGATGCTTGATTCCGCTTCTATTTGTGATCTCTACCCTGAAGCACTTCCCTGCAAACAGGATACGCCTAAGCAGGTGTAGTGGTGGAAAAGTTTTGTAAAGGATTGCAGTGCGTGTAATTGCCTGGCTTGGGGTGAACTTTAACCCTTTACATGGTGGTGATGCATATCTGCATCATACCGTTCAAATTCATTTATTTTTCAACGGGCGTTGCAAAACTTTCTGAAATCTTTTTGATGCAGTTCAGAAACTTTCGTTTTTTATATAACAAGTGTTAGTCACTCAGAATTCTGTCCAATACTCAACAGATAATTACTTTTCCCGCCAATTTGGTGAATGTGGAAATCTGAACTGGTTGTGCAGTTTCTCATCCAAATTTAAATATCAAAAAAAAAATGTATAGTTAATTTAATTTATATTTATAAACAGGTAAAAATTATATTTAGTTATATATTGTCGAGTTTTTGTGTTTGTTGCATTATAATACGAATAAATCAACAATTTTGCCTTGTTGCAGATATGCATTAAAGTAGCTTTACACATAGAAAAAATAAGGTAAAACCAAAAAAATTAAAAAAATAAAAAGAAGTGTATTTTTTATTTTCACTTATCTACCAAACAAAAAAAAATGAAGAAAATCGGAGTTATTGCCATGTAAAGGGTTAAGCCAGCTTCATCAGCTGGAAGGCACCCGCCCACCTAGCACAAAAGTTTCCTGCCGTTAGTTGCTCAAATGAAGTTAGCAAAACTGATTAACTCTCGGCAGCTTGGCTTGATTCCCTCCTCCAGCTCTTGGCCCAGAATCCGGAGCCCAGAGACCCGGCTAACTAATTGAATTTCCCCGGCGCACTGCAGCGTCCAATAAAAATTATACTTTCCTCCTACTTCTGCTTAACGATGGTTTGTGCAGCAATGGCATTTTGATGTCTAATATGGTTTTAATGGAATACTTGCTGCATTTGCAGTGGCATTAAAACCCAATTGCATTTTGTCCGACAGCCATGGGTTCTGACCTTAGCCATTTGGTGTCTGCATAAATCTTAACAGCCAGCCACGCCCTCTTCCAGCCTTCATTTCACTGGCTTTTAAATCGTTTGGATAGTTTAGCCAAGGGCTCACTCTCAGCGCGTCAATGTCGTTGTCATGCCATTTGGACCCCGGGCTTTAGTTTGGTTTTAGTTTCAGTGCAGGCCATTTATAGAGAAACGCCCTCTGGCGGCGATGACACGCGAGTGTCACGCCCACTTTGGGATAAACAAACTGGGCAGCCAGTTAGTCGCTTGGCTAATTCAGCTTTTTTCCATGATATATGGCGCGTTCTTTCGAGCACAAAATATAAAAATTCTAGGATTTGAAAAAATGTTAAATTGGTATCACGCATTTAAAAATAATTGTTTCTAAGCTGCACAAAATTATTTTTATATACAGCAATAAAGTTTTCTCCACGTTTTACACATTCCTAGTTTAAATAAAACCCGCACTTGCATTTGCAAACAGATTCCGCAGCTCGTGTGCCATTGAAATTAATGCTTCCTTTATAAGTTGCCATCCTCCACTCGCTCAATGACAAATTTCCCTGGGCACTTTGGGCCATAGTGTGTTTACCAAAGCTTATGCAGCTGAAAAGGTTGACAGTTGCCATTGAAATCTCAGCGCTGCCAAGGTGAGAACGCTCACATTGGCCTTACTGCATACGAGTTTATAAGTACATTATATATCCAAGATCCCTTAAACGTCACTTGAACATTAGCCAAGGGGACTCACTTTGGCACCAGTAAATGCTGAGCATGTAGAGCTCTCTGGCTAATTAATGTAAACGCAACTTGGCCTGGAAAAAGTTTTTTAATTATTATTTTCCTTCTCTGTCATTCCAGGATACCGTAACTATAGCAAATGTGAGTATTTGATTATGAAGTTTATTGTGGTGGGAAGCCAACCATTGGTACAATGTAAGTAACTGATAACTCAACTAAATTAGAAGTAATTAATTAAGTCTCAATAATGCCATAATCGCATTATTTAATTCTACTGTTCTCCTTGTTTCGGGAAAAATTCTTCAACGGTTTGATTTCTAACTCAAGCAAAATTTACGCATTTTTCAGCTCGATAAACTCTGCGCGTTTAATTAGCAGCTAAATTGAGTTTCTTGGCTGTTCAACTCAAAGACCAATTAGTGTCAATAATCAGCTAAGATTTTTTGCCCGCCTTTGCGTCTGCGATCCACTTGCGCCGCAATTATTCTTCAATTTATGAAATTGAACACACTTTTTGATGACCCCATAAAATGGAACATAAAATTCCATAAATGCCGGCTGCTCCGCATGAATTTCGTTGCGAAATGGAATTTTGCCATTTAAGAAAACATTTTCTAAAATCCATTTTGCGCTCTCTGTGTTTTTACTTGATTAATTTTTGCGGCTATAAAGAAAAATAATGAAATTTCTTTGAGAAAATAAAAACAGAAGAAAAAGGTAGCGTTGCCGTGGTTCCTGGAAAATGTAACGAAATTAAATTATACAAATTTGCATTTAGTGGGCGAATGAATGTGCGGAAAAGTAGGCAGCAAAAAGTTTTCCTACACGAATCCATTTGCAGCCAGCTGGAAAAGTCTTCTGTCGATGATGATGATGATGGCTTTTACTTTGTGTATTATTTTCTTTCCGAACTAAATTAAAAAGTTTTTTTGGGCATCGGTATCCGATTATAATGAGCTTGTCATGCTGGTTGATGGTCGAATAAACCGAAAAAACGGTTATAATGTAATATATTATATGTGTTTTCCTAAAACACAACCAAATTTCAGCAGCAACAAATGAGTTGTGCAACAGTTTTTAATTGACATGAAAAAAGAATAAACAGCAGTATAAAAATAACAGTCATATATTTCCACTGTTTGCACACAAGTTTTGCTCGCTGGCAATGTTTGATTAATGCGAATGTGCGGAAAACTGCGCGGCAAATAATGAAAAATGACTGCCTGCCACAGACACACAGACTGGGAAAACTGGCTAAACAACTAAAAACGAGTAACACACACAGCTGGCGGCTTCTGGGCCCTGTTAAATATAAAATTCTATGAATTTGTACGTACATCATTTGAAAATCGTAAAACTTGCAAGTGTTTTCCACCGTATATATACATGCGGTGTGTGCTGAGTGAGAGCTGTCATAAACAGGAGGGAAAAGGTAAGCTGTCTGCGCCTTTTTCACTGCCGTTTCCTGCGTTTATTATTTTTTTATTCCTGTGTAAAGAGCACTGCCACAAAAAAGGCGCTTCTTTATGTAATTATAATGCCCTGGCAAAATGCTGATGATCATGCAAGCGCTGCTGACGATGATTACTAAGTTATTTGCCCAAGTTTATGGCCGTGCAAAATGTAAAGGATTTTATACGCACCCGGGCCATGTGCACAAATTAATAATCTTCACTCAGGCAAATTAAATTTAGAATTGAATTGCCTCCTGCAGGGCTTGCATAAAATTTGGGAGCTCAGCCAGAGTTTTTAAGGGATGTGCAAAATAAACTATTCTGGAAGCTGAGCGAATTGCACACAATCGTGTTTAGGATGCCGGAAACAAATAATAATGTGCGTTGGCGCCAAAATCAATACTGGGGTTAAACGGGAAGTTGACATGTAACGACATCGTGCCAGTTGCTAATGAATGTCAGGGAGTATATATGCCGTCCCCTTTCAACTTTCACCTATCTGTCAGTCACTCTCGGCTCGTCTGCCAGTCATGCAAACGAATAAAAACGCTTTTATTGTAATCCGCAATGTCAAAATGCTGCAGCGGATGTTTAGCCAAATGTGCGGACATGGGAAAACTCTTGGGGAAAGTGTTTTCCTTCACCCAAATGTATATGTACCTGGGCCTTATCGCATGCCACGCAGTTATTTCGGGTACGGCCCTGAATTTCTGCCTGCCAAACTATAAAATTCTCCCCGGGCACACACACATACAAAATCCAAACAAGAAAAAATGGTTTAAGGTCTATTGATTATCCATTGATAAATGGTGGACATTTTTTTTTGTGCGACAGTGAGAGTGAGTCTGCCACTTCAGGTTAAATAGTTTAAGAATGTCTGCCACATTAAAAAACAATTTCCGCTAAATCACTTTCAAGGAAACCAGGAAGCGGGAGAGGAAGTCATCGCAGACATGACTTGAAGAGAAATTCCTGCGGAGAAATTTCAGCATAAAAGAAAGTATGACAGTAAAAGTAAGCAACACGCCTTATGTAACAAATCAAGTGCCAGAAGGTTTATTCTCCTCCGGCTTGGCGAATGCTTTATGTCACTTGAAGGGGAATTATAAAGCTTATTGATTTTAGACAGACCGAAGTGCGGTGAATAAGCGAAAGGAAGCATTCACGTGGGTGTAGGTATTAAATTCATTTAAAAGTTTGTAAGCTCCAGAAATATGATATTTGTTTGTTTGTTCTATTTTGGGAGATATTTCTTGAGTTTACTTTTCTAGTAGTTCATTCAACTGTCTGCTAGACCCAATGGCACAGCTCACCCTGCGGCGGGAAAACAGCAGCATAAAAATCTCAAAGAAATATTAATAAAAGATGAGCGACATTAGTGTCTTGGTTTCGTTCCCTCCCATTACAGTTTCCCCTTCTCGCCGCCCGTTTTTTAGGATTTTTTGTAAATGTCCAACCCAAAACCGTAAAACGAAGAAGAAAACAACGTTTTTACTACTTCCTTTTTTTTTGTGCTGTTTTGGCCAGCGTCTCTAACCTCGAGCATTCTGTTGACCTTTTTCGAAGCTGTTTGGCTTCGGATTTAGCCATTGGGTGCGAGATGCTTTAAAGGGTCGACGAATGCAAAAAGAAAATGTCATAAATTTGTAACACTTTTGCGGGGAGGATTCCAGACAAGATGACGAGCAGTTGGCCTGGTGAGGGAGAGGGGTATAGGGTCCCGGGAAAGAGACAGCAGATTACAAGCTCGGAGCATTTTGTTGGGAGCTGTGATGTGCCTGAAGGTCTTTTAGCCACTTTTAAAAAATTATAAAAAAACTCAAAAACTAAAAAGGAAACTTTACATTTTTACTAACATTTTTCTTATTATTAATTTTTAAATTAAATCTGTAAAAAGTTGGTTCTAAACCAGAAACATCACACATTTGTTTAGTTATTTATAATAAAATATTAGTCTTGACAGCTGTTAAAAAACTTTTTTTTCAATTTAGCTATATCTGTCCCTGGTTATGACATCTCTGTTCGAAAGCAATATCCCTGCTAGAGCAGAAAGGCAAACAACAAAATGCGAAACTTGGCCTCCGGCACACAATTTGTCACACATACAGGGCACATAAATTAAATATATATACACAAGTTGGAGATGACTGGACTTTCTGGTTTCGGTTTCTATTTCAGACTCGGATTCGGATTCGCTTCTTGTGACGATTTTTTGGCCTTCCTTTTTTGGTCCACAGCATAGTTTGCTGGACCATTTGATTAATAAATTGTTTAGAACACAAACTTACTGACTTGTGGCTAATAAAATATGAATGCTAAAACTTTGCGGGCGGCAGCATCAAAGGCCAGACATGAGTCGCAAATTAGTCATGCGCATATATGTCGAGTAATTTATGTTTGCGTTGATGTATGTGGCCCAGAGGCAGTCACATTTAACCCCAGTTAGCATTAGTGAGCTGCTCCATATGCTTTCCCGCCGAATTTCCATAACGAAACGAGGTTTGGGTTGCAAAAGCCAACACGGACATTCCAGTTCGTTCCACGCTGCGTATGCGTAATTTGATTTTTCGTTCCTTTTGCGTTCGGGCAATGATTTTTGTTCCCTTACACATTTGTCGCTTTTCGCAAAAAAGAAGTGGTCCTTCCTCTGCTTTTTGTTTGGGTCGCCTTTTTGATTACATCTCAATCAATTGGTGGCAGTTTTATGTTTGCACATTTCAACATCTTTCGGCTCTTCAAATGTTCATTTTTACGATGCCTGCGGTGATTCTGGTTGGCCCATGAAAATTTGTTAGCTTTTCAAGTTTTTCCCCTTTTTTCCTCGATGTATGGCCTTATTTTTGTGTGTGCGTAAAAGTTTGTTTATATCATATTACCATTTTATTGTATTGTTTGGATCTCTTCGAACTCTGTAAAAATATTTAAAATTGATTTTCAAGTCTTTTTATGCCTGATTGTGTACAATGAAATTCGTTTGAATTGGAAAAAACTTATTTAAATTAGCAAACACTTTAAAAGAAGCAACGCCAATGTCATTAACCGCTTTCCATAGAAATTTAAACCTGCGGACCTAAAGAGCTGTTTAAAAATTCTGTTTGAAATGCCTTCATTTCATTTGCTTGCCCAAAAATAAAAAGGACGTAAACAAAACAGAACCCTGGGGCCCGGCGTCAGTCAGAATACAATTCAATTTTGTTTAGCAAAGAAATTTTAGAGCCCGGCTTTTCGGGGGGTGAAGCTCACTGATCTGAAAAAAAGGGCCAAGTTATTTTATAAAATTATATTTCATCTAGCAGAAGGCACGAAGGAGGCCCAAAGACCAAAGCTCAGCCAGTCGAGTGGCAGCATAATTTTCATTCAATTCCGCTCATTCGTTCTGCGTTTGGCCAGGTCACCGGAGTTGTGGACGGGATGCATTCATGGCTATTTGCCATCATTTGTGTGTTTATCCACTTAGAAATGAAGCGATTTGATTTCCCGGTAAATGAGGCATTTTCTGCAATCAGTTTGCATTGACTGGGGTCCTAATTTCCACATTTCCCTTAATTCCCTTCCCTTACAATTTGGCGGGGCAGGTTTCCAGTTGTATTTGCAGCTTCATTAAATCGCGTTGTGGTCGCTCCTGTTATCCGCCTCTCACTTTGACTGGAAGTGCACTTTTAGCACAAATTTCCTTTTCTTGTTGGC